GTATTATTGCTTAATATAAATTGAAGATTTATCACTTTGGCGGCTTCAGTGCTTAAATAATTAAGTGCATTTAAATATAGTAATTAGAAGGATAACAGCAATGGGGGGGGGGGGGGAATCAAACTGCTATCATCATAAGCAAGATTCTTTTTCTGTCAAGGTGTGCCTACTGCAGCTATTTGATGTTGTAATTTCCAGTTCGCTTCTAGAAATAAACTTGGATTTGGAATGAAATGTACTCCCTGCTTGAGGCATTCTTTTAGTTTTTCTTCTCAGCCACAAGGTGCTAAGAGAACAAATGGAAGCTTGGAATAGCATTTTAGTTATTACAATATTTTATTTTTTTGTTTTGTTGTTTTTTTTTTCCCCTATTTTACCCTGTAAAGTTGTTGTCTCTTTCAGTTAAAAGCATACTGGTAATATGAGAATAGTCCAGATTCTGTTCTTCACATAAGTAAATAGCTTGAAGTTACTACACACATGTTTCTGCTGAAGTCTGAAAATTACTTAACCCCAGGCCATCCCGGGCTATATCTGATCTATACTTATTTGTAACTTGCTATCTGAAATTGACCACCGCTGTACATGAATGTTAACTTGAACAACATAGGGTTGATCCCAAGCCAGGCAGAGTTTCAGCTTATAACATAAGACCCAGTGTCTTTTGTTTCCATAAATAAAGGATAATAAGTAGAACAGACTGTACCTGGGCATCATAGTTGGGGAAGAGTATCAGGTCTTTGAAGTATCAGTATTGCTTCCGTATCAGATCTCTGAAGTATCAGTTTTGCTTCCGTTACCTGTTAAAGCCCTAACTATTGTTTAGAGTGACGTAGAGGTGGGGTAGGTACAGGAGAGCGTTTGCTTTCCTTCTGCTTTTAGAAACAGAAACTTGTAGAGCAGGGGTTTTCAACCTTTTTGAACAAGTGTACCCCTTCTATCTCAAAGTTTCAGCTCATGTAATCCTTATATTAAAATTATTTGCGGGGGCGGGGGGGGCACTGAGTGTGAGTGCATGGGCCCCCTCCTGCCCTCCCAGCAGGTAAGTCTGTGGGGGAAGACAAAGGGCTGTGGGGGGCAGGGGGGCAGATGAAAGCCTCCATGGTGAGGACGGGAGTGGGGCACAGACGGGGGCTGGGGTGAATGTGGCACCAGCCAGGCTGGGTTACGGACAGTTGGAGCCCAGGTGGCTCATCCAGGGGAGTGGGGAGGCTCCCACCGCTGTGAGCACCCTGGTGGGAGCCCGGGGGCACATACCTCCCTAATCTGTGCGTGGGGCGGAGTCGGCTGGGCTGGGCTTTGTGCACTGCTGCAGCTGCCCCAGGAGCGGTGCAATGCCACGTGCATCCCGCTGCTGGGTGGGCAGGGTGCACAGCTCGGCCCAGTGGCAGCAGGCACGTGGTGTTGCACCACTCTTGGGGCAGCTGCAACGGCACACAAAGCCCAATGCTCAGTGGCAGCCACCTCCAGCTGCCTCCCTGAGCACAGATGGGGGGGGGCACATGCCCCCTGGGTCTCCGCTGGGGTGCGTGCAGTGGCGGGAGCTCCCACAGACCCCCTATGTATTTTTAAGTACCCCTAGGGGTACACGTACCCCTTTTTGACAACCACTGCTGTAGAGAATCCTTCTTTCAAGGATGGCAGGACCTGGATAAACTGTTCTTATATCTATACATGCTTGGAGGGAGTATAAATGTGTGTACATGTGTGGACAACAGCTTACAAAAGCATCATTGAAAATATGACTTTTGAATCCGATGACAAAACTCTTACTGATCATAATGGGGTCAGTCTTTTAACATCTTAGGACCCAGTATGTGTGGAGATGGGATCGATTAATTTTGATCAATGGTTTTTCAGATTGACTACTGGAAAAATAGAGCCAATGGCTGAATTAGAAGTTAAAAACAAGCTCCAGCCCAATTTGATTAATTAGCAACCCCCTCCCCGCCAATTCTTTTAAAGTAGGGTAGAAGTCATGCATCATGGAGGATATTTAGCTGAAAAGGCCTGCAACAGTTCAAATTAAATCAGTTGTTCAGGTAACTGGTGTAACTCTAGCAGTAGCCCTATACTGTAGACAAGTCCTGAGAACTGATGACAACTCTGAATATTTTAGCTGTGTGGTCCCTGGTCCACAAGTAAAAAAATAAAATAAAAAAATTGTCTATACCAACCTGCCTTCCTTCGAACATCCTTTAAACAGTGTCTTATGTGCCCTTTGAAATGTTACTCTTTCATGAGAAATTGGAGCTAGACTGTTCTCAGTGGTGACAGATGACTGAACAAGGAGCAATGGTTTTAAGTTGCAGCAAGGGAAATTTAGGTTGGATATTAGGAAAACTTTCTCGCTAGGAGGGTGGTGAAGCATTGGAACAAGTTACCTAGAGAGGTGGTGAACTCTCCATCCTTGGAGGTTTTGAAGTCCTGGCTCAACAAACTCCTGGCTGGAATGATCTAGTTGAGGTTGATCCTGCTTTGAGCAGGGTTGGACCAGATGACCTCTTGAGGTCCCTTCCAACCCTAATTTTGTATGATTTGGTGATTCTAATTATTGAATCAGATATATCAGGCCTGTTGTTCAGAATATTAATTATTGGATTATTGGTTAAAAAATTGAGTATTCCAAACCTTCTAACTATATAGTTCTGCAGTTGAGTAGCCTTCTACAATGGGATCCTAGATTGGGCCCAGTGCGCCATATAGGACTTGATGAAAACTGATGAAGAATTTATGACTTTTGAATTTATGAATTTATGAGAAAAAGACTTTTTCTCCTATAAATTTACAACTGTTAGCTTCAGAAAAAAATCTAATAACTGTTCTTTTTGTAGTTCATGAACATAATGATCTCTCTATGCAGGCAGCGAATTTAATAACATTAAAATAAATTGAAAACGAATAATACATATCTGCCAAAATATACTTCATTTAATTTTTCCTTGTGTGTGCTTGTTTTTACCTTCACCTAACAAGACAGCTACACTTAAGGAACAAGTTGCCATGAGCAGTGAAATTGTTATTAAGCTTTTCTCACAAGCGTCTTTGTACTTGTATCAAAGCAAATTGTGCTCGTGGTAGCAAAGTATGACATCAATGCAGGGGCCTCCCCATAAAAAAATTTCAGTGCTAAAACTTGAATATGGAGACTTTGCCCACAAAAATCCTTCCTAATATTTGTCCTCTATATATTACATAATTGAGCAGAAACCTGTTAAAAGGAAAATCTGATGATAAGAAATGAGAATTTACTTAAGAGATGTTTTGCGAAGTGGTTTCTCCCATTTTCAGAATATATTTGGCTTGGTACCCAGAAAAAATATAGTATAGCTCTACACCTTTTGGGTTTCTTTACATCCGTGTGTTGTTTTTAAGCAGGATTGATGCTACTTTATCTCTTGGCACACTGAACTCATTCATAGGACTATAATTTTCCTCCTGTTAATATATTTTAATATTTATGCATGGTTTAAGACAGTTCTCAACCTTTTGCATCTTTACGTCCCACCAGCCATTGGTCCCAAAAACCCTGGTCCCACCATGATAAACGATGGGGGGCGGCCCCCTGGCGGCCGGTCGATGAGCTCCTGCTTCCTTCCCCTGAGGCCGACACGACCCGGCATGGCTGAGGACAGTGGTGATCTTGCTGCTGTGAGCTGTCCCCCTGCTGCACTGGCGATGTGCGTCCTGTGTCTGCCGCTGCTGTGAAGGGCACAGCCCTGACCCGCTGCCCTCGCTGCAGCCCCGCGCGCAGGAGGCGCTTCCCCAGGGCAGTGCGGGGCGAGTGGCGGCAAGACGGCCCCTGTGTGGCTCTTCCACTCCCTGCAGCACCTCAGAGAACAGTGCCGTAGGGAACTCCCTGCAGGGAACAGCTGCCTCCCAGCTTCCCTCCCTTGTGACCTGGCGCTGCAGGGAGCAAAGGAGCAGCGTGGGGAGCTTCTCGCTGCCGCTCACCCTGCATTGCCCCAGTGAAACACCTCCTGCGTCCAGGGCTTTGATGCGGGGCTGCACCCCTCAAAGAGTGGCAAAGCGAGCAGCTGCTCCCCTGACACTCTGCTCCCCTCCACCAGGTGCCTCTACAGCCCAGCGGGCACAGTCTTCCCAGCCGCACCAAATTGTGTCCGCCAGGCTGCAGAGGTACCCGGGAGAGGGAAGCAGAGTGGCAGGGGAAGGGGGGGGGGTGGCTGCTCGCTGCTCCTCACTCTACCCTGCTTTCCTGCCCCAGGTATCAATGCAGCCTGGCGGGCGTGATTGGGCACAGCTGGGAAGAATGGGGCCATGCAAGGAGTGGCACACGCAGGGCGTGCATCACCAAGGCAGCGTAGGGTGAGCACCTTCTTCGCAACGGCCCCACTTCTTCCAGCCGCGCTGGATCGTGCCCTCCAGGCTGCAGAGGCACCTGGGGCAGGGAAGCAGAGTGGCAGGGAATGGTAGCTACTTTCCCTTCTGCTCTTTGAGGGGTGCAGCCCTGCATTGCAGCCCCACACACAGGAAGCGCGTTTACAGGGCAGTGCAAGGCAAGCAGCTGGGAGCAGGGTCTCCACATGACCCTGCTGTTCCTTGCCTCCCTGCCCTGGGCCTCTGCAGCCCAGAGGGGATCTCGGCACCAGTGAGCTCTGCGCGGCCATGGCAACACATTTCCTTCACGCGGAGCTGCAGTGAGGGCAGCAGCGCTGGAGCTTGCAGCCTGCCCCTGCCCCGCATACAGATCTGGGAGGTGCGGGTCCCCGCTACCCCTTGGAAGTGTGCGTGGCGTGAGAAGCTGGCCCTCCCCCGATAAGCCAGCTGCACAATGTGGCTCTGGGTCCCAAGCACCCCCTGCTGGGGAGAAGCCCCAGCTCCCTCCCTACAGGGACCTCAATTCCCCCCTCTCCCCCCCCCCCCCCCCCGTCCCCTGCCAGAGCTGCCCTGAGGCTGCCCGGGGCCACGTGCATGTGCTGTAGTAGTGTACATGCACGTGGTGCCCCCTGTCTCACCGCCTTCCTTCCTTTTCCTCCCAGCTCCCCGCAGGCTGGAACTCAGCCAGACTGCAGGGATCTCATTGCTGGCAGACTTCGTTATAAAGGAGCTTTGCTTCCAGAGGCGTCACCGAGGTATTGCTGTAATTATTTTTGAAACTTCGGGTTCCACCTAGATGACCTTCACATCCCACCAGTTGAGAAACACTGGTTTAAGGTATCTGTATACTGTTTAGAGATAGATACAGTAACATTTTTCTAAAGCACTTAATTACACTTTGAAATGGAACTGAGTTTTGTAAATCACTTGGACAATTTTGAAAAGTTTACCTTGTCGAAGTGCCAGCTACTCTGGACACATCTACATGTCGCCATGTGGTGATGTTGCTACGGCACCGTGCTTTAGTATTTCCTTTTGGAAGTACTAAAGGACGGCACAGTACAGACAGTTGCTGTGCTGTGCATGGCTAGATTTTTGTTGCTATGTCACCGTAGCAGCATGCGATACCGAGGGAGCATACCACTGTGGTGACGTAGCTGCTGATCATATGTAGATGTACGTGGTTGCTACGTGACTGTAGCATGCCATAGAGCAATGTGTAGATGCGCCCTATGTATATTTTTACTCTGAAAGAGACGGAGGGAGGGAGGGAGACAAACCTAAGAGAGAGAGAAAGGCAGTATATACACACCTGAGTTTACTATATAGAACAATAATTATTTTGTGTGTATATAAGTACTCAGAGGCATAGCTGGACAGCTGTGATCCCTGGGCAGCTGCGATACACTTGGGGCAGCGTGCTGGTTGCTGCAGTGCTGATTGCAGCAGTGTGTATATGTGTGTGTGTGTGTGTGTGTGTATATGTATGTGTCTGTGTGTGTGTATCCCGTGTTTTTTACATCTGTAGCATATCAGGGATTTGAAAAAGCAGATGACCCTAGTTCAGATGTAAGTATGCATCATCAGTGCCAACTTTTAATGTCGCATACTGGAAAATAATACTAACTCACTACAAATATTGAAAACCTTCAAAATGTTTTTCCTTTTGTGGTGCTTACTTATAATTAATATTCTAGTTCACTGGGAGGATTATTTGCTGATTTGATTAATAAATGCTGAAGTGACATTGCAGAGTATTCTCTATAAATGCACAAATAACTTTTAACAGTGAACTTTCATATTTCAAATATGACTTCAGCGTTGCACATATTTATTTAAGGGGCTAAATTATTAGGTGAATTGTGCCAAATCAGAGCAGACTGAACTTTTGCTACTTGACTACAAATTGCTTCTGAACTAGCCACAGTCCATGTTTCATTTACAGAGATTATTTTTGATGAATTTTGCTGTTTTGAAATTCTCCAAATATTCCTTACATATGTTTCACCTCATTTTGTTTAGGAAACATCTACAACCAGATCAAATACATGCTTTTTAGTCGCTCCTAGCACTTATAGTACAGATGTGAACCCTAACATGAAACTTTGTCAAAAGCTGTTGATGTTTTTTTGTATTTGTGAGCCCCCTTAAAACCTTTGACTTGCACTTCACTCATGCAAAATGTCTTGTTTATTTCATCTTAAGATGGAAAGTAACCCAAGATTTTACAGTTGCTATACAAATAATGTGTACAAAGGTGGTAAAATTCATATGCATTATAAACAGTAGAGGGCAGCCTTTTAAAGAAAGCAGGCAATATTCAACATGATTGACTTCTGCAGCTGATAAGAGGCAACTGATAAAGGATTGTGGGGGATGTAGTTGAAACAAGATGATTGTGTTCTGATGTTATGGTATACAGTAACACTCTTACTGAAACCCAGGAAATTAAAACAAGTACTGGGCCAGAATATCATTGGTGAGTAGTGTCGCCGCCGAGAGCTGCGGCGCGGGGTTCAGGGCCTTAGGAGCCCTAGTCGGCGGGCAGGTACTTGTGACGCTTGGAGTGGAATCAGGTACTGACGCGTTTTGATTAAACAAAAGATTATTTACTTACACTGCTCGTACAGTGCAGGCCAGAAGCTTGCTTCGATTACGGTTATAAACAAACTTGGGTCGGGCAGAAATTACAAAGTTTGTTGGTCTGCCTGCAAATGTGTTCGGGGTGTTCGGGCCGGCAGTCGTCTTACGTCTCGGGTGGGGGTGTGCTAGGCCCCCTTGGGTCGGTGACGGGGAGTCCTTAGTGGTTGATCAGGCCGCTAAGTTCGCTCTGAAACACGCGTGGAGTTTGCTAGGCTCCACAGTGTACTCGGAGTTCTCCACGAGGTGTGTGTGGAGTTCTCCAACTTGGGCGGAAACTGCTTCAACCTCTTATACGGCTAGCAAGCCAATCACTGGCCACCAGGTAGGAATAATTTAGAACAGTCCAATAGTGGGGTACGAATTTACATAAGATTGGCGGGAACTTTTTCGAGGTCATTAATATATAGTCACTGGGCTCTGGAGTTTTCCCCTC